ATGTGTGTGTATATATATTCATAAATCACCCATGAATAGATATCTTAAGGTCCCCTCCGATCTTTTCTTTACACCCTCCAATACCTTTTTATCTTACTTCTGTCAAAATGCTACTAGTAACACTGGGCAAGACTTCCCCTGAGAGCCAGTCAACACTACTTCTCAGTCAGCTGGCAAGATCACTATTTATCTGTGTAGGGCTCATCTTTTTGTAGCTCAGAGACAGGACTGTTTATTAAACGTTTCCATACTGTGACTTCATGGGAATCAAGAGAAAACAGTTGCTATTCCAAGCTTATCTTTTTCAATCTGACATTTCAGCACATGAGTTTTAGTTCATTGTGCTTGCACATTAAAAAAGAGTTTATAAAATAATGTTTTAATCTCCAAGATAATTTCATTTTGATCATATGTTAATATAGGAAAAAATGGAAATTCTGTTTATTTCACACAAGTTTATGTTTCAATCAGATTTTGTGTATTTTCTCTATCTGCCAAAGGTATTTATTAGATGTAATATTTATTCTATTGTCTTGGATGAATATTTTATGTTGCTCCTTACTTTTGGTGGTGAAAATGCATCTTAGACAACTGAAATCTACAGTAAAAATATTGTAATTCATTTGGAGTAAGTAATCCTGAGTAATTCACTTATAGCTTCATTTATCTTGTGAAATTTAGTGACAATTCTTTTTAAAATTCCTTCTGCAAACTTTAATAGTTTACATAAATACATTAATTATTGTAAAATGCAATGGCCTAAACCTCCCCTTTCTCCCCGTCCCCCAGAACAATTCTTCTAGTACAATACTCTAATTTTAAAAATATTTGGAAATGTTAAGCAACTTGAGTGTGGTCTTAATATTAGTTACAGGCAGAGTTGAGACTTAGAACCCAAGCCTTTTGGCACCTATTTCTGAACTGGTAATGTGGCTCCAAGAAATTTTTCTCATTACATAAATTAACATAATTAATGTATTAATTTTTGTTAGCAGAAGCTAAATTATATTTCATTCCATGTTTTCCAGGGTCAAAACATTTTTGGACTAGATGTCATTGAAACACCGGAAGGAGACAAGATGCCACAACTGATTGTTCAAAAAGAGTTAGATAGGGAAGAGAAGGATACCTATGTGATGAAAGTAAAGGTTGAAGATGGTGGCTTTCCTCAAAGATCCAGTACTGCTATTTTGCAAGTAAGTGTTGCTGACACAAATGACAACCACCCAGTCTTTAAGGAGGAGGAGATTGAAGTCAGTATACCAGAAAATGCTCCTATAGGTACTTCAGTGACACAGCTCCATGCCACAGATGCTGACATAGGTGAAAATGCCAGGATTCACTTCTATTTCAGCAATCTAGTCTCCAACGTCGCCAAGAGACTATTTCACCTCAACACCACCACTGGACTTATCACAATCAAAGAACCACTGGATAGGGAAGAATCACCAAACCACAAGTTACTGGTTTTGGCAAGTGATGGCGGATCAATGCCAGCAAGAGCAATGGTGCTGGTAAATGTAACAGATGTCAATGATAATGTCCCATCAATTGACATAAGACACATCATAAATCCAATCAATGGCACTATAGTTCTTTCAGAAAATGCTCCACTCAACACCAAAGTTGCACTCATAACTGTGACAGATAAGGATGCTGACCATAATGGTAGGGTGACATGCTTCACAGATCATGAAGTCCCTTTCAGATTAAGGCCAGTCTTCAGTAATCAGTTCCTCCTGGAGACTGCTGCATATCTTGACTATGAGTCCACAAAAGAATATGCCATTAAATTATTGGCCGCAGATGCTGGCACACCTCCTTTGAATCAGTCATCCATGCTTCTCATCAAAGTGAAAGATGAAAACGACAATGCTCCAGTTTTCACCCAACCTTTCATAAGTCTTTCTGTTCCTGAGAATAATTTTCCTGGCTCCCAGTTGACAAAAATAAGTGCAACAGATGCAGACAGTGGGCGTAATGCTGAGATCAATTACCTGCTAGACACTGATGCTCCACCTGAATTCAGCGTGGATCGTCGTACAGGCATTTTGACTGCACTGAAGAAACTCGATAGAGAAAACCAGGAAAAATATTTCTTCACAGCTCTTGCAAAAGATAATGGGGTGCCACCCTTAATATCCAATGTCACAGTCTTTGTGACGGTTCTTGATCAGAATGACAACAGCCCACTTTTCACTCACAATGAATACAACTTCTATGTCCCAGAAAACCTTCCAAGACATGGCACAGTAGGACTAATAACTGTAACCGATCCTGATTATGGAGAGAATTCTGCAGTCACTCTCTCCATTTTAGACGTGAATGATGACTTCACCATTGACCCACAGACTGGTGTCATCCGACCAAATATTTCATTTGATAGAGAAAAACAAGAATCTTACACTTTTTATGTAAAGGCTGAGGATGGTGGTAGGGTATCACGTTCTACAACTGCCAAAGTAACCATAAATGTGGTTGATGTCAATGACAACAAACCAGTTTTTGTTGTCCCTCCTTCCAACTACTCCTATGAATTGGTTCTACCATCTACTAATCCAGGCACAGTGATCTTCAAAGTTGTTGCTATTGACAATGACACTGGCATGAATGCAGAGCTTCGTTACAGCATTGTAGGAGGAAACACAAAAGATCTGTTTACAATTGACGAAACAACAGGCAACATCACACTGCAGGAGAAATGTGTTGCTACAGATCTTGGTTTACACAAACTGATAGTCAAAGCTGAGGACTTAGGACAACCTGATTCTCTCTTCAATGTTGTAACTGTCAATCTGTTTGTGAATGAGTCAGTGACCAATGCTACACTGATTCATGAACTGGTACGCAAAAGCATTGAAACACCAGTGACCCAGAATATTGAGACAGCTGATACATCCTCACCAACCAGTGACTATGTCAAGATCGTGGTTGCCATTGTTGCTGGCACCATAACTGTCGTCTTAGTTATTTTCATTGCTGCTGTAGTAAGATGTCGCCATTCACCACACCTTAAGGCTGCTCAGAAAAACAAGCAGAATTCTGAATGGGCTACTCCAAACCCAGAAAACAGGCAGATGATAATGATGAAGAAAAAGAAGAAGAAGAAGAAGAAGCATGCCCCTAAGAACCTACTGCTTAACTTTGTCACTATCGAAGAAACCAAGGCAGATGATGCTGACAATGATGGAAACAGTGTCACACTAGACCTTCCCATTGAGCTGGAAGAGCAAACCATGGGCAGGTACAACTGGGGCACCACACCTACTACTTTCAAGCCCGACAGCCCTGACTTGGCCCGACACTACAAATCTGCCTCTCCACAGCCTGCCTTCCAGATCCAGCCTGAAACTCCCCTGAATTCAAAGCACCACATCATCCAGGAACTGCCTCTTGATAACACCTTCGTGGCCTGTGATTCCATCTCCAAGTGTTCCTCCAGCAGTTCTGATCCCTACAGCGTTTCTGAGTGCAGCTATCCAGTGACAACTTTCAAGACTCCTGTGTCTGTACACACCAGACCGGTAGGTAATCCAAGTTTCTAACTAAACTTTCTAACTTTATTATTTAAATTATTTTCAGTTGATGTACAACTTTACAGAATCTATTGACTTCAAAGAGAGATCAAGACAATCATATTCTGCATAAGTATCCAAATAGAAATATGGACTCATTTAAGTCTGATAGAAAATCAGAACAAAATGACGGCTGATTGTAGGAAAATTGGGTGCAGAATGTTGCTTATAATAGGGGCAATTTTGTCTGTAGATGGCAGTATGACACTTCTTGCCAGAGAATATACTGGAAAAACACCAAAACAAAGGGTTGTAGCACTGTCCTCAGTACCATTGTGTGCATGAGGATCAGAACAATTTGGGCTAGATACATTACAGTAAAGCTTTTTAGACTCTCATAAGAAGATCTTAATTTTGATGGTGTTGAGAATCCCAGCTTCACGTGGGAGAATCTGTGGCTGCCCAAGGTAATTAAATGGCACCAAAGTATCCTCCCCACCATGCCCCACCACACCTCCAAGTCTTCGCAAAGAAATGTGTCATTTGCAGATTAGGAACTAAAACATTATTCTGGCTCATCAAATTCATATTCACACAATGTAACAAGAATGGGATTAGAAAAATGAAGGCATGCTCACTTTCATCTTCAAGCCAGAGAATGAAATATCTATTAGATCTCCATTTTAGATATCCATCTAAATATTTGCATATTTATGGAAGGTGTTTTGAGCCCTTCATAAAACATTCTTAAAAGATAATGACTTTTGGAAAATGAAATATGTTTGCTTTCTCTAATGGGCAAAAAGGAAATTATGGGCATGTTAAGACATAAGAAATCTGTGAACAATAATTTAAAACCCAATACATTTAAGAAATCAAGAGTTTATACAGTGCCTTTTGTCTGTATTCCACGGAGAAATTAATACAAATATATCTAGAAATTCATAAGTAAATTAAATGATTTAAAGATGCTTATATCCTTAATAAATTTAAGCAATGAAATTTATCTATGTTTTTTCCCCTCGAAGTCATGCCACACGTTGACTTTTTTATTTTGTCTGTGTAACTCTTAAAAAAGTCTTAATCTCAGTTTCAATGAATAAAGTCTTTTGAACACCTATTCAGGCTTAAAAAAATGGTAGCAATGTGACAGTCAAAATAGATTCCCTCTCACCAAAAGTTAGAGATATTAAAGAAATCTGTTGGATTCAAGATAACAGTGTAAATAATTTACCATAATTTTGGAAATGAGTTAAGAATGGAAGTCATTCAAGGATGTGCATAGTTAAATAACATTAACAGTGACATTAACCTTTCTCTCTGAATCATGCGGTGAAGGTAATGTACTAATTCAGTTGTGGGCGCAATTTTTTTTACATAGGTCCACAATTAAATGCTATTGCAAAAGGTAAAATATAATCCTAGTCTCCGTGTAGAGAGTTTCTGTTAGGCTTTGAATGAATTTACAGGGCAGTGATTATTTTTACAGTTCAGATGAGTGTCATGTTTCTCTATGTTGGTGGATGTTTGATGGGCAACAAACGTAAGAGATGTCTAACATCTTCACAAGGTGTGTTTCTGTTTATATTTAAACATTCAAAAGGGCACTCTCATTTTCTAATTATTATCGCTATTCTGCTTATTGGAAACATTTCTCAAAGGGAAAGTGTCTTTTATGAATAACACTTTATGTGTGCTGCATATCCTAATAGCATTTTTTCCTGGGCTTAATTTGTGACTATCTTAAAAAATTATACAAAGGGTGGGATTTGTGAATTACATTTGTAGATCGTCATTTTTAATAGATTGGCTCATGAAGTTAGTTAATAGAGCAAGTTATGGTTTCAAGTATTTGAGAAGATACTGAGATATTTTATGAGCTAGACTAATTTTACTTGAGTATATGAACATACAGTAAGCAAGGCATGGATGAAGGAAGAAAAATGGAAGTATTTTCCAAATATCCTCACCTTTTTTTTTCTTTTTTTATATTTTGTAATTCTTAAAAAGTCAATAAAATGAATAACTTCTTCCTGTGATGGTATTTTATATTGGATAGCTAACAGACTTTTTTCTAAACATAGGACACATGGCTTCATGAATTAGGCAAATCATGAAAAGTAAATGCTAATGAGAATGAGTTATTGGTTATCATTTGGTTTTTACCAACCAAAAGGACTATCTTAGGATCAATGAGTTGTCAAATGACTTATTTGATTTATTTTACATCTTAAAAAAGTAATTATATACTTTATGTCAATGGTTCACAGTTATTTCATATTCATTACTAAATATCTTCTGGACATGAATTGGTGAACTTAGGCAGACTAATATGATACTAAAAATAATTTGAATCTTTACATTTTGTGCTACATTTGCAATGTTCTTTACCCTTTCTATATGCACTTCAATTTGTGATTAGTGCCAGGAGAGGCATTTTATATTCACTGATGTTGCAGAATGCTAACAAGATAAGTGAGCACTGAAAAAAATTATGTTTTTAAAAATTCAAATATAGTAGGTGTCTTCTTTTTAAAGAAACATACGAAATGGGGAAAAGTGTCAGACAATACAATAAAAATTCATTTTTCCTTAATGAAATACTGAGAGTAGAATAAAATATTACTGTTAGCAGAAGGCAGAAATATTCCAATTTATTTTAAACACAGTGAGAAACACATTTCAAAAGGATAATTTAGGGTGATATTTACATTTAGTTAATTACTCACCTGAATAGAAACATGAAAGTGGAGGAATAAAATGGTTCCAGTAAGTTGTAAGATACAAGGGTCTTTATCCAAAATGTTATGTTTTAAAAAGGGAATCAAATACTTTCTGTAGATTGTTTTTCTGGCTCTGGTATTCTAAAAAATTATGGACACATATATTAGATAGGAATGCATCTATTGCATAAAGCCATCTATACCCAGGGAATATGATGTTCCTCTCAGGCATAAATTTCTACATGTATTATGGAAGATATTTTTGTATATATTGTAGTAGAAATGGAAAGCATGAAATTTAAGAAGTTGAGTCTAAATATTACCTTCTTTTAACACTTTTCAGAGCAAGGAGATAGCATTTGGTTGGTATGTCCCTAGAAAAACAATAAGTATAAATAACTATTTTAGAATCAGTTTTGATAATTGTCATATGAAAGAAATAAACTGCCAAAATCAAGTCTTGCTTAACACAGCTCCTCCATTAATAGGTTGTGAAGACTATACATTTGAAAAATAGAGAGGAGAATAAAAAGAAAGCATCATTTTTGGGGAGGGGGCTTCTATAAACCAGTCACTTAAGATATGTATTTGAGGTATATCATTTCCCCAAAACAAACAAACAAAAGCTTTATGAATTTCTGTGATTTGAGTTGAAATAGCATTGCAATTTTGGAAATGAGTAGAAAAGAATGGTGAAAGGTTTGGGTAGTTATAATTCATGGATGAAACCAAGCTGTAGATATGATATATGGATTCAAAATGATAATATCAGTCTGAGTTAGCTTGGAATAGGATTGGCATTCACTACTGTTAAATTCAGTAACTTTGATTCTGTGCATCTATATTTTGGTAATGTTAATTTTAACTATGTAGCATGCTTGGCAAAAAAGACTCCTAGAATACAGCCATCTCATTTTGATAACATGTTATTTTTCTTGTCCTAGACTGATTCCAGGACATCAACTATTGAAATCTGCAGTGAGATATAACTTTCTAGGAACAACATAATTCTTTTCCCCTTCCAAAAAATTTCAATGATTTGTGATTTCAAAATTTGGCTAACATCATTAATTTTGTAATCTGGATTTCCCATTATAATAGCAAGCAAAACAAAAACCACATTGAAAATGATGTCCCAGTGAACCTTGTGCTTTCATTAGCTGTAATCTGGCAATGGAAATCTAAAATTTATGGAAGAAACAGTATAGTATAATAACAGAGTTCTATCATGTTGCTTCTCTGTTTTCTTGCTCTGAATGTCAACAACTGTGATGTAATATAATGCGATCTGGATGTACACACCGATGGTTAATATATCAATCTTGAAACATGGAATTACTTGCCCTGTGTGATTACTGAGGAGTTTAAACATCATCTCTGTGAGTTTGGAAGTGAAGCTGAACTATCCAAGCTACCCTTTGAAAGGTATTCAGGACAAGAGTTTTTTTTAAGACCCCCAAAACAAAGAAATGAACAAAACCAAAAAATCTTTAGTGCAGTGTTTTAAAAATATTCACTAACATAGTGTTGCTGAGAAAATCATAATTACCCACTACTCTGCTTAAAAGTTGGATTATAGAAAATAATCATACTGGGTTTTCATGTTGATTTTAATCATGTTGTTCCACTACTTTAATCATTAAAAATTATTTTTAT